CCGGCGCCGCGACAACTGGCTGCCGGTGACAGCGACACTGGCTGCCGGCGCCGCGACACTGGCAGCAGAATGGCCGTGACATGACGGCCGGAGTCGCAACGCTGGCAACAGAAACCATGACACTGGCGGCCGGCGCCATCACCGCCGCGCCCCGCGCCTGCCCGGAAGGCACACTGACCACCCTCACGGCGCTGGCAGGTCTCAGAGGCCGGAACACCTTGACCGGAGCCGCCGGCGCAGAGGTGGCCGTCCCATTCGCGAGGCGCCGGCGCCCTCGGCTGCGGACGGACCAGCCTGGTCAGGCCCCCGGGCTGCAGCGGCGCACGAACCATCCGCACACCGGCCGGCCGGACTGGCGGCCGGGCGAGCCTGACGGCGCCTGGCTGCCGAGCCCGGGGCGCCGGCGGCGGAGGCGGCGGAGGCGGTGACGGCGACGACGAGCCGCCGCCGGCCAACCAGGTCAGCGTGGTCCAGCGGCACCGACCGCACGTGGACTGGCTCCACCACCACCGGTCGCGGGTCGAAACTGGGCGCGGCGGCTTCTTCCTCCTCCTCCTCCTCCTGCGGGCGCGACGGCGGCGCGCGGCGGCGACTCGCCGTCTGAGTCGGGCTCGGCGGCGTCCCGCCCTCTCGACGTCGGCTCGAGGGCCTCGGTCGCCGGTCTAGTGAAACGCCGCGCAGCCGGGCCGGGGGCGACGCCCCGCCCCGCTGGTAGTGGGAGACGGTTGAGAGTCGGCGGCACCGCGCCACCCACCAGCTGCTCCATGAACATGCGGCCGTCCTTGTCCATTCGCACCACGAAGCGCCGCTTGCCCGGTCCGGCAGACGGCAGAGCCGGGCTGGCACCTGTCGCCGGCCGGACCAGCCGCGCCGACGGGGTCGGCGAGCCGGCCGGTCGCGCGCGCTGAGCGGCAGCGGCGCGCGCCAGCCGGTCGCCGCGGCCGCCCAGCAGCGCCACGTCGCTGCTCCAAGCCGGCGAAGGCTCGGTGGCGGACGGCGCGCGGCCGGCGGCGACGCGCGCTCCCGGCGCGCCGGCGGCGACGGCAGCGGTGGCGGAGGCGGTGGCGGCGCCAGCTCGTGCCTCGTATGAGAAGTCGTCCATCTTGCGCACCTTGCGCAGGCGGCCGCGCGAGCTGACCTGCGGACCGTTGTCCGGCTGGAGGGCTCGCGCCGACCGCTCGCCGACCGCTCGCCGCCCCGCTGGCCGGGCGCCGGACGTTTTCAGCTTGACCGCCTGCTGCGTTGCCGCCGACGGCCCTCCTCTGCGGACACGCACGCCCCGCTCAGTCCGCCGATCCGTCAGCGATGAGATCCGACAGGGTAGGCCAGGTTTAGACACGCGGCGCGGCGGCGCGGACGCCATGACTGGTAAGGCGCCGACTGGCAACAAGCTGTGCAGACATCCTTAACATTTGCATCGACACTAATGTTCATAGTTTGGAGCACATGGGCTGCGAAGTGTCATTAAACATGCAAAGTGCTACAGCACAATAAAACCATAATATATGACTAGCAAAACTATTGAAGCTTCGCAACACGTGTGGCATCACTTCGCATTCATGTATATATATATATATATATATATATATATATATATATATATATATATATATATGGACCACTGTTACAAATGCAGCCAATTATCATCTCCCATGTAACCTTTGCATGCTAGCTAAGGCCACATTAGCCATAAATCAATCTCAAAACAGAGGAGGGATCGTCAGAAGCCTGTCCGCGCCGCCCTGCCCGGGGAGCGGGCGTCACCCTGCCGTACCGTCGCAGCTGTCCTCATCCGAGGGCGGCGGCGGGCTGGGCTCCTGCGGCGGCGGTGGCGGCGGTCGTCGCCGTGGGGTCGGCTCCGGTTCCGAGTTGGGCTCGCGCCAGGCCGCCTCGCCCGGGTCCCGGTAGTCGGGCGGTCTGCAGCGTGCGGGTTGAGCGTCAGACCCGGCTCAGATACAGGCGGCGCCGGGCTCTGATACAGGCAGCACGAGGGCTCTGATACAGGCGGCACGAGGGCTCTGATACAGGGGGCACGAGAGCTCTGATACAGGCGAAACTGGGCTCCGATACAGGCGTCAGGCCGGGCTCTGATACAGGCGACACGAGGGCTCTGATACAGGCGAAACTGAGCTCTCATACAGGCGTCAGGCCGGGCTCTGATACAGGCAGCACGAGGGCTCTGATACAGGCGGCACGAGGGCTCTGATACAGGCGGCACGAGAGCTCTGATACAGGCGAAATTGGGCTCTGATGCAGGCGTCCGGCCGGGCTCAGATACAGGCGACACGACGGCTCTGATACAGGCAACAGGCCCAGCTCTATTACAAGCACAAGGCCAGGTTCTGATAAAGGCGGACAGCGGACACTGGCGAAGCGGCGACCGACGCAAGCAGTCTCACCACCGCACACCACGCCACAACACAGACGTCGCAAATTCAGCTCAAGGTTCAATCTGATCGTGATTCCAATGTTCGCTCCGAACAACAGCATACCGCGGTAGCCATAGCATACAACAGGAAACGACGTCCCACCGGAGTGCGGCGGAGGCGGTGCCGGCTATGTCGTGGCTGTTAACTTCTGCACACCGTGTACGCCAGCCCCCGTTACTAGCACTGATCGGAGTAAGATCTCCCGAAACACCAGCATCCCATCATACCATACCCAGGGACTTCCACCGCAGACGACACTGTCCTTGCATGCCATAACGTTATCAGCAAGGGGAAACAGCAGTCAGGCAGCTAATTTTGTTTATGTTTAAGAATTACATTTATGTACGGCAAGTGCGAAATCGTGTACAATCAGCTCCAACTGCTTCAGTCATTGCTCCATAATTCAACCGATATATGTCCCTTACCTCCTAACGAAGCTCAACCACTCTTGACAAAGCCTCTTGCGCATGCGTCGGACGGACTGGTTTATTTTGGCCTCCAGCGGCTCCAGCTCCTGCAGGATCTTCTTCAACTCCTCGTGCAGCTCCACCTCGCACTGGGGCTGCTTCGACTTCCGCTGTGGCAGCCACACACACAGCAGTCACCGCACCACACCGAGCAGGAGACAGTTCACACAACAATACGATCTTGTGGCATCTAACCACTGACATCACACAAGGCAGAATTTTCGAATCCATGCTAACCATCCCTCAAGAAGATGTGCTATCTATGTGCTATGTGTGTGCTATGTGCTAATCATGCTAACCATCCCTCAAACACCGGGCATTGTGTGGCAGTCGTCTTGGTGCTTAACGGCGCGAAGCGGATGCATGGCGCCATTGGGGCAGAACAACGACCACCGTGAAGCAAGCCCACGCATTGCTCGAAAAGCACAAAGTTCGTGGCAGTCCAGCGGCGGCATCGCCATGGCCCTGCGCGTAACTTTCGAAGCCCGCGAACTGCTGCGACCATACACTCGGACCGCCACGGCAAGGCGCGGCCGGAAGAGCATGTCCCGTACGTTGCTAACTCGCCGTGCGGCGCGTGAGACAAGCCACTCGGCCCTGCCCCGCACGCACCTTCTTCCCGGCGCTGGCCTCGGCCGCCTCGGGGCTGAACGAGTCGATGAGCCGGCGCAGCGCGTCGAACGAGTCGGCCACCAGCTGGAACTGATCGGCGTCCGGCGACGCCAGGTGGTCCGGCTCGGCCACCGGCTCCGGCACCGACAGCGGCGGCCCCAGGTCCCCGTCGCCGTTCGGTTCCGCCTGCGCCGCGTCCATCCCGAGCCCGACGCCAGCCGGACTCGGCTTCACGGCGTCGGGGTCCATCCCAGCACTGCGCCGAGTCGGCTGCACGGGCTCCTGCTCTGCCTTGACCGACTCGGCATTCGGCTTCGCGGCGTCGCTCTCACTCTTCACGCCGTCTGGATTCGACTCCACGCCGTCATGCTCAACCTTCACACGATCAACACAGCACTCCACGGCGTCCTGATCGGCCTTGACGTTTGGCTCCGACTTCACAACGCCCCACTCCGCCTTAACGCCGTCCGGACTGGGCTTCGCGTCAGTGGGACACGTCTTCACGGCCGCCGGACGCTCCTCCCCCAGCTCGGCGGCCCGGCCCGTGTCGCCGGCCGCCGTCGATGGCACCTCGGGGGACTCCGACCCGCCCGGCGGACCGCGGCCGCCCTCGGATGGCGTGTCTCCTCCGGGCCCGGACACGCCGTGCCGGCGGACAGGGTGCTCGCCATGCGGCGGGCTGGGCCCGTCACCGCGGGCGCCCTGCTCGGTCCGATCGCTAAGGCACGGCTCGCTGCCGGCCGGCGCTGTCGGCCCGTTCGCCAGCACTGCCGGCTCCGGCTGACCGTTCGTCAGGCCGGCGGCGGCCCCGCAGCTCCCGTCGTCGTCCGCAGTGATCGCCGGAGGACCGGCATGGCATGCTGCTGGAGGCGTGGGCGGTGCTTTGACGGGCGCCGGCTTCTCGCCGTCCTCCAGCAGGTGCGACACGCTGTCCTCCCCATCCATGTTCGTCACCCTCGAGTCCTCGTCGCTGGCCACTGACATACGCGACTCGTTCTCGTCGGACATGCGGGAGTCCTCGTCGTCCCACTGGCGGGAGTCCTCGTCGGCGGCCGACATCCTCGTGTCTTCGTCCGGCTCCGAGGCAGCCGACGCCGACGGCAGGGACTCGGCGCTGGGCGAGCGGCGGCCGGCCAGGCTCGGACGCTGCGAGCGCGCCGACTCCTCATCCTCCAGCTGCAACGCCGCCTGCGCGTGGGAGGACAACACTCCGTCAGCACGTGCAGTGCGAGGCATCACTCTGTCAACGCAGCGATCCACGCGACCGCTCGGGTATAGCACACGACGCCGCGCACCTGGCACCGCCGCCGCGCACCGCCGCTGGGAATCTAGCCAAAGCCTTGTGAGAATTCGGGACGTTCGAATTAAGTGTGGCTACAGAGGCACGTTCGATGTACAGTATAGGGTAGGTTCGAGCGTCATTTTCCATCTACAGCATTCAGGCATGCTGGCAGTGAGGATACAACACCCACAAATGCAGAACCAACGCTACCGTCAGAGAAACGGCGTAAAGAGCAGCACATGTCTCACCTGCTTTTGGAAGCAGCGGTGAGCTTTCCGGGCGCGCTCACTGCGTACAGACAGCCCACAAAACTGACACGAGTTCTGCAAACAAATGATCATCAGGACATCGCAAGGCTTTGTGGCAACGCTCCAAAAAAAAACTCAACCAGGCGTACTCCCATCGTCCAGACATACTCGTCTCCAGTGTCACGCCACAAGACCAGCACATGGGTCTGTTGATCCTGTAGCCTCTCAAAGCATCAATTAAAATGGCTATAAAGGCCAGGTAAAATTGCAAGCTTATTATAACCCGTTAACATAAGACTAAACTCACAAGAACAGCGCCCGAAACGCGTTCCACTTTGAGCTAGTGCAGCCGATGTGGGCTTTGGGAAAAATCCTTAAAAGCAGCGACCAACGGGCGATCATCAGCGTTCGTCTGCCACTGCTCCGGCCGGCACCGTGCCCCGCGACCAGTCAGATACTCACCGGGTCGGCCGGCTTAACCGGCGTGCTCGGCGTGGTGGAGCCGGTGCGGGAGCCGGAGAGGCGACCCCGGCCTCGGCCCCGGCCCCGGCCCCGGCCGCGGCCCGTCGCCAGCCTGACCGGCGCACGCCAGTCGCCGTCCTGGACGTCACGCACGCTGCCGGCGTCCGCCGGCTGCTGCTCCTGCTCGCCGCCAGAGGCGCTGCTCTCGCCGTCCGAGCCGGCCGGCGTCGCGCGGCTGAGGCAGGTGTACCGCGCGGCCGGACGGGGGGCGCCGCCCCCGCCGCCGCCGTGCCGCCGCCGCAGCTCCAGCAGACGCCGCCGCAGCTGGCGCAGCTTGGCCTTGGTCCAGCGCTGGCCGGCGGCCACCAGGCGCGGCGGCGAGGCGGGAGCGGGCGGGCCGCCGCCGCCGCCGCCGTGATCTGGCTCGGGCGCGCGCCACGGCCGCCGGCGGTACAGACGCACGTCCCGCACCAGCAGCTGCGGGAAGTGCAGGTACTCGAAGCCGTGCCGGTCGCGCCCGACCACGGTCTCGCGCGGCTCGGCCGTGGCCGCCTCCATGACGCAGTCCTGCAGAGACTTGTGGCTGTGCTGTGGGCCGCAGGGGTCGGCGTCAGGGCGAGGACAACCGTCAATCTATCATGGTCGAGCCACCTGGAAGTTTCGTTTGATTACTTACCGAACTTTAACTCGCTTCAAGTTGAAAGGGCATGACCCACCGGTCAACCCCTTTCAAATGCTTCAACGAAATCATTACCTGTCGTTAACTTTGGCACAGTAACATCTGAGCAAACACTACACTTGATAGTTGGCGTTTTAGGGCGCGCCAACATGAAGGTCATTTTGCGCTCTCCAACACTTCACTACGGGAATTGAATTCCCACAGGCATCTACATTTAAAAACCATTTCTTTTACATATGTCACGATAACGTAACGACTAAGTCACACCCCAAACCCAAAACGCCACGAAGAGCAGCCACTTCCGAACGATGCTCCGTCCCCAGCCATACTCACAAAGAGGAAGTCGCACATGGTCTTGACCATCCAGACGCGCTCGTAGAAGCTGAGTTGGTGGAAGAGCCGCTTCTCGAACGGGTTGGAGGTGCCGACCACCTGCCAGAAGGTGGGCTCGATGCCCTGCGTCTCCAGCAGGCGCTGGGTGCACCCACGCTCGCGGGCGTACGCCCGGTACCACAGCTGCACGCGCGCCGCCAGCTTGGCCGTCCACATGTGGTACGGCATCGGCGGCAGGTCGGCCAGCTTCATGCGCACCAGCGGCGAGCTGGACACACGAAAAAGCCCACGTCACGGCCCGAACAGCGCAGCTCAAACACGCCGGTTCCGCAGTCACCGCCAGACTCAGCTGGCGTGCGAGAGACGGCAGATAAACAAAACACGATTTCGCAACACGGTATCAGCTAGTGTGCCGGTTGTTACCATCACGAACGGTGATGCCGCAAATGTTCAGCAGCCGTCATCGCTGACAACAACCTGCCCACTGTCTGACCAAAGCCCGCGGTATCTGCCGATTGTCTGACCACGGTCCGTGGGAGCAACATCCGTGATGACAGCAGTGACTCACCTGACCAATGACGTCATCAACATGGCGAGCGTCTCGGAGGACTGCGGCACCAGCAGCATGCGCTCCATCTCGTACAGCGGCACCTCCAGGATGTTCAGGGCGCGCAGGCTCAGATGCACGAACTGCGCCAGCTGCGGAAACTGACGGAGCACGGACGGCCGGTCACCCTCCAGACGTCACGTGCGCTATCTAACCCTGAGTATCCCCAGCTTAACCAGCCTGTGATTCCCCCTGATCCAGATTGAAAACTTGTCTTGATCTACACTGATCTTATGATTAGTCCCGTTTACAGTGAACAGCCTGCTCCCGACACAAACTGCATCCTGGTGCGCGCCGGTAGGCAGTGTGCAGCAGCCTGCCACGGAGGGCTTTCAAAGAGCACCGAGCCTCGACAACGCCCGACAGCATTGTCGAGCCCTTGCGCAACGCAGCGTGACGGTAGCTCGTGCTCGCGCCAGCCCAGCGCCGTCGCACAAACAATCGACTTTTTGCAGTCCACTGGCAGCCCGTGCCGGTGCCCCCCCCCCCCCCCCCCCCGTGCGGCCGCTCCACCCCAGCGTCTGGCCTACCATCGCCAGCGGTGCGGCGGCAGCACAGCGCTGCGGCTGGCCGGCAGCGGCAGCGGCAGCGGCGGCGGTGACTCACCTCCCACATGGCGCGCAGCCGGTCGCCGTGGCGGCCCGCTAGCAGCGCCGCCTCCCACTGCACGATGCGCAGCTCGCGGCGCTCCAGCCGCGCCCGGCGCGCCTCCAGCTGCTGACGCCGGTACGCCTTCTCCCGCTCGGCGCGCTCGTGGCGCACCGCGTGCAGCACGTGTGAGAAGTACGTGGCTGCCAGAGCGAGGGAGTGGGTCAGAGAGGCAGGTCACAGACTCATGCGCACCGCTCACGGCCGTCCACCGGCGATGTGATTTGGCTCATGGGCCCACGAGAGTGCCAAGTATAAGAGAAGTGCGTGGGCAACACTCAGCACAATGGTCCACGCCGCTGGACTGCCACATGTGGATAAGTCAGGACGTTAGCAGATGGAAGATATGCCTGTCCGTATCTTAGCAAAGCAATGAACGTGTCGACGAGGTCTGGGTGACACCAGACCATCGTCCAAGAGCCAGAGCGGACCCTCACCACCCCCAACCCTGATCTAGCGACAGCTGCACAGGTCAGCATCCGGCGGCGACCCGGCCCACTCACGCTTCTTGCCCCTAGCGGAGCGTCTCCGGCTGACCAGTGACGTGTCGACCACGGCCTCCGGTCCCTCGGTCGCCTCCAGGGTACACTGGTCACGCAGGTCGCTGTGGGCGGACACGTCGGTCGTCAGCACCGCGCCACAGCCACTGACACCGGACGCGCGGCTCGACGTCAGACACGAGGCAGCATGACCCTTCAGACCGCCTCATTCAGGCTCCATATCGGATACCTTCCGGTGGTAGAGATCATGATTTAATAGAATCACACCAATGGTCCTGGTGTTTTGTCATGTTCAATACTTATGATGACGCTTTACACGCGCACGCACGCACGCACGCACGCACGCACGCACGCACGCACGCACGCACCACACACACACACACACACACACACAGATACGGCCATCAATGCATCTGGAGCTAATAGTGCAAGGAAATCGGAAACGTGCCATTGGTAACGCTAAACACACGGTTTCCAATTTAGAACTGGCGCTATCAAATTGGAACTGGTAAAAAGAAAAGAGATACGCGCACCCCACCAATGGAAAAGAATCGTCAGACGTCGCCTAGCCGCTGCGTGGCAGCGGACGTCCGTGGTCGGAGCCGACCGGCGAACAGCGGTCTCATGTCATGCCATGCATATACTACGGATTGTTACATATGTGTGACTTAATGTTTTATCCGAGTCAATGGGTTACAAGAAATGCGATTAAAAACGGAGATGCGGCGCTGATGATGACACGTCAAGAGCTTGAGAAAGACTTGCAAAGTTAAACAGAATCCTCTTTTCACAATGGTCAAGTTTAGACGTGACCGCAGCACGGCTCCGGGAGGTCATGACGGCCGGCGGCAGGTGTTTCCGGAACGAGGCCGCACATTAGGAAAATACCCTAGGCGCCATAGACAGCCGGGAAGGGGGCAGCTCCAAAGCGCCGGCCACCGCCTATCTCGTGATGCGCTCACAGCGGTCCGAAAGGTGAGCAACAACCAGACCGCCACTAGGGCAGGCGGGGGTCGTTTAGGACCCTGAAGACGCCAATGTGGTCGTGACACGTAACAAGGTCATTGACCCCGCGCCAGCCCAGCGCCCTTAAGACCGGTGAAATATGATCTGGACCCCCTCGTCTCCGAGACGATGCTTGTCGCGAAATTCCCGATTTCTCCGCACCCGGCCGAAATAGCAGGTAGCAGCCCCGCTCCAGACTGAGAGGCAGTACAGGATGTGGTGAAAATATGGATCTGGGTAAGAAGCTTACGTGCTTCGGGTGTGAGATGACGAATTTTGCACAGGCAAAAGGAAAGAGTCGCACCATTTTACTAATTTAGATATGCACACCTCCAGGACAGGGTACCATCGACGGTCATTCCCAGCATCATCACGGACGGCGAGGGGCTATTATGAAGTTGGACAAGGATGAAGATGAAGGATTTGGTAAGGTGGTTTTTTTATGGCCTGGGGCGTGCCGACTAGAACAAGGGTGTTCTTGGTAGGGTTCATCTTCAGGGAATTGACAGTGAAGTAGGATTGGAGGGCAAGGATGGCTTACTCCCGACGGGATTTCAAGGCGGACAAGTGGTCGTGGATGGAAGGAATCAGGGAGTTAGGCATCACCGGTGAGGAAAACCAGACGCGCGGGGGCAGGTAGGATGAACGGTCGTTAGTGAAGATGCTGAAAAGGAATGGATCCACCAGGGACCTCTGAGGGACACCGTGGGAAAGGGGGAGGAATAGTGAACCACCTCTCGCCACCTGCCGCAGCTGCAGTCAGCAGTCAGCAGTTTCAGTCCACCACCTTTTCGGATATTTTCGGAAATATAGATAAAATTGACATAGACCTTACATTGCTGGCAACGTCACGTGCACCGGACTTGTGAAGTGGAAGAACCGAAATTAACTTTTAAGCACAGGTGACCACCCGGGTCACGATGGAAGAATTGACCACATGACATAGGTGACGTCCTGTGCCAGCAAAAGCTTTCGGCGCAAGCAGCGGCATACCACCGACTCCAACAGCTCTAAATAAAGACAATACACTCACAGCCTTCGAAAATTCGGGCGAGATCACATGGTATACAACTAGCTGGTCTGTGGTTAGGCACGATGGTCTCGGAGGGAGAGGCGGGACGCCATGGCTGCGCGCCTTCAGCTCGGCCGCGATTTTTGGACCATGTCATGTCACTGGGGTTGTACGACGCACTCAGCTGCTGAGGCTATATGGCGTCGCCTGCCTCTCATCCTGGCAGGAAGGGCGGGCACCGCGGGGAATCGAACCCTGTACCTCTGGTTTCCCAGACGGGCAGTACGCTACCGGCAGTACACTACACTACCGGCACCCACGATTTTCGGACCAACTGAGGCGAAGTGACGGCTAAGATCGTCGGCCACGTCGGCGGGCATTACTTCCCCGGCGCTACCTCCCCCGCCCCCTCTCCCTAGCGAGGCTAAGCCCAAAATCACGCCCGGCTCGGCCGGGCGTGATCCTTGATGATTTGCGGTTCTCGATCTCGATAATTCCTGATGCGTGATTCTTCAGCACCGCGCCGCCACCACGCCCCGCTGCTCCACTCACGGCTCCATCTGGTCGATCAGCTGCTCCATGGTCTGCTCCAGCCGGAGCGCGCGCCGCGTGATGCTGTGCTGCGGCCCGTTGTAGCGGTAGCAGTTGCGCAGCATGAGGCGCAGCTCGCGGAACAGCGGCGTCAGTGAGGCGTAGGCGCCGTCCAGCAGGCGGTCCCGTACTGCGGCGGCGGCACGAACGGTCCGTCAGCGGCCGGCTGGCACCGAGCCGCCGCCAGCTCCGAGCAGCGACAGTCACCGCCGCACGCACGCCAAAGGGAGTGCAACGGAACGGCTGGTCCATGTAAGGTAGAATCCAGGTGGCGACCCGCGACGGTTTGAACTACGACAACAGCACTATCGTCACGCAACATTGCAAAGACACGTTCGGGAGAGGCTAGACCGAAGCTGCTACAACACACAGCGCGCTGCATAATGCGAGTGTGAACGCCGGCAGAGCGGTATTGGGACACTGCAAGTACATTACCTTTCTTGAGCCAGGTGGGTTCCTTGATGATTGTCTTGTAGTCCCACAGTGCGCCCTCGGCGTTCACAGCGTTCATGAACGGCCAGTTGAAAGTGCGATTCGCCGCAGACATCAACTCCCGCAGCACTCTGAAGCGTCACAATCCGTGGCACGACCGGGCAATATAAGCGAATGACAGACACGCACAAATGTCCGCGACTAAAAATGGTCGGGCCGGCCTGCACAAGCTTAGCTGGTTACTAAGATAGGACGGCGTTAATAAACTTATTCCTCGTAAAATAACCAGAAGAATGAACAAATAGACACAATGATATTTCGGTTATATGCCTGAAGCACAAAAACATCTCCAGCATGAGCTAGGAGGCATAAGAACCACTTCGCGCTCGTCCTTGGCCTATCCGTGGTACTCCAGCTCCATCTCGTGGCGGGGACCAGTATCGCACCGCATCGGGGCGATCCTGCCCCGCCCCCGCCCCCGCCCCCCCCCCCCCCCCCCCCCCCCGGTAACCTGACATAACGAGGGGACGGGGGAGCGCAGCATCACGTGGTCGCCCGACGGTGCCTCACCTGTATCCCTGGTACAGTTCCCGCGAGAGGCCGGCGGCGCGCTGCTCAGCCGCACAGCCGGGCTCGACCGGCAGCGCGGCCGGCACCGGGCACTCCTCGGCCTCGTCCCCGCTGGAGCTGGCGTCCTCCTCTGGACCGTCGGCGGCCGCCACTTCCTCCTCATCCTCCTCGTCATCCTCGTCGTCCTCACTGAGACCTGGCGGCCGCAGCGCCGCGTGACTGGTGACCGTCTCGGCCGACGACTACACCGAACCCGACCTTCAAAAGTTAGACCTATCAACATATCGCTCCCAATTTGAACACGTTCACTGTTACAGCATGCTCTCCAGATTTGTGTGGTTGCTGCCTTTGTCCCCGTTTTATATTGTGCCGTGATGAGTGAGCTAAGCTTGTCAGTACGCTTGGTCCTCTCGGAATTTGATATCCAAGATTGACTCCCATGGCGTTTTTCCCATAGGCTCTTTCACTGTTTTGAAATATCGCAGGTATTTCCTCCAGGTGGCAAAGGAAACGAACATGGCACCTAGGTGTAAGTCTTCCCGCCATCTTAGTGTCATAAATTTACTGACCATCCTCCAACTTCGTTTGCAGCACTCACCTACGCCTACCGGCACCGCCCCTCCCCGCTCGCCAGCTGGGCGAGATGGCGATGCTGATGGCCCTGCATTTTACACATGGGTCTTGCAGTCATTAAGTTATTTTTATTAACTGACCACCCACACAACAGTGTCTACACCACACAAATACATATGTACTGACCAGAACCTTTTGCATATAGGACATCAGTTGTGTGTATTCCTCACCATTGTATGTGTTGATGGGGTGGCCGGGAGCCATGCTATCCATGGCTGGTAACCTGCAACA